AAATGAACTAGACGTTAAAGTACTTATTGCCTGTATATATTGATATAGTTAATTAAGCACAATTAATAAAATCCCAGAGATAGATATTGGGGTTCAGCCTGAAGGTCAGAAAAGCAAAGTAGCCAGCCACTTGCTCTTTCCTCTACCTCAGACCGAAATGGCAGTCCTGCCTCCAGGAATCCTCAAAATGAGACTGATTGAGAGTTGTTTCTTGTTGTCTTATATTCCTCTCTGGGGCCAGGATTAAAGACGTACACCACTATGACCCGGTTTCTATGGCAAACTGGTGTGGCTACTGGGATTAAAGGTATGTGTCACCACTGCCTGGTCTGTAAGGCTGACCAGCATGGCTGTTTTATTCTCTGATCTTCAGATAAGCTTTATTTATTAAAATACAAATGAAATATCACTAAATTCCCCCTTTTTGTCTAAAGTTAAAAAGAAGGCTATAGCTAACATAATAAAAACTATATACAATAAGTACAGTGACTATATACACTATATACAGGTGTAAACGGAGGCTGCTTGTTCATTTTCTGGCTGCCCATTGTTGTCTGAATTTTCTGTCCTTCCTTGTTTCCACAGTCATTAAGTCCCAAAGAAATCACACAGAGGTCTAACCTGTTTAGTTATAAAGTGATTGGCTCATTAGCTCAGACTTCTTATTAACTCTCATAACTTATATTAGATCATTATTCTTATCTGTGTTAGCCACATGGCTCAGTACCTTTTCAAGCGAGGCAGTCACATCTTGTTTCTTCTGTGGCTGGGCCAGGACTGCTGAGGAATGGGCTTCTTTCTTCCCAGAATTCTCTCTTCTCATTGACTCACCTCTACTTCCTGTCTGGTTGTCCCACCTATACTTCCTGCCTGGCTACTGCCCAATCAGTATCTATTTAAAATAAAATTGACAGAATATAGATCATTGTCCCTCACCAGCCCATACCTCAATAATCACACAGAAACAATATTAATTATAATACTGTTTGGCCAATGAATCAGGCATATTTCTAACTAGCTCTTCAATCTTAAATTAACCCATTTCTATCACCACAAGGCTGTGGCCTACCGGTAAGATTCCAGTGGTGTCGTTCTCCTTCGTCAGCTACATGATGTCTCTTTGACTCTTCCTACTCTCTCTATATAACTCTGTTCAGATTTCCCACTTGCCTTGCTCTGCTAAGCCATTAGCCAAAACAGCTTCTTTATTAACCAATGGTAATAAAACATATTCACAGCATACAAAGGGAAATCCCAGGTCATACAGGTAATAAATACATCAACAGTTATTATACTTATATATAGTTTTTCTTCCATTAGTTATGGCCTTCTTTTTTATTATAGACAAAAGGGGGAAATATAGTGGTATATTATTTTTGTTTTAATAAATAAAGTTTTCCTGAAGATCAGAGTTCAAAGCAGCCACACTAGTCAGCCACACAGGCCAGGCAGCAGTGGCACACACCTTTAATCCCAGCAGCCACACTAGTTTGCCATAGAGGCCGGGCAGTGATGGTGCATGCCTTTAATCCCAGCACTAGAGAGGAGTATAAGAGGGAAGGAGGCAGCTCTCAGTCTCCCTCTCCGCCTGAAGATTCGTGGAGGCAGGATCGCTCATGTTGGTCTGAGGGAGAGGTAAAGAGCCAGTGGCTGCCTGCTTCATTTCCCTGATTTTTCAGCTTGAGCCCCAATCTCTCTCTCTGGGTTTTTATTATTCGTGCTACACGAGCGCTGGGATTAAAGGAAGTCCATGCTACCAGTTATGTATACTGACTTCATTACATTGGCTGTAATGAAGACTGTTTGCTCGGAGATTATCCTCTTCTGAATGTTGGGCCTTCTTATACGTGGAAAGCCTGTACAATCCTGAATAGGTTGGTGTGTGTGTGTGTGTGTGTGTGTGTGTGTGTCTGTGTGTGTGTGTGTGTCCAGAGCATCAGCAGAGTTGAGCACTTGTAACAAAACAGTTGGAAAACTTGGAATTTGTAGTACCTTACCCTTTGAGAACTCACTGTTGCTCCCTGCCCCATTTAATCTTATTCACTGTTGCTGACACCTGTGGTCATGTAATTTCTTGATTTTGAAACTCAGTGTGCCTTCCCTTGGTCGCCACTTCAGAGTGTCCTCTTGTCTCTCCATTTGAGCACAGAGTCGATCATGTCTAGTACTGTACTTTTTCCTTGACCAGAACCATCTTCCCACTGTCCCAGCACTGCGACTGTCACAAACAAGGGCTCAGTGCTTGGGTGCTTGGGTGTGTGTGCTCAGAGTGTGGGCAGACGGGGGTCATGGGATGGTAGCAAAGTGTGTCTTCTTTTTCAAGGGAAAGTAGCCACTGTTTCTGGACTCAAGTGTATTTGTGTGTGTTGGGGGTGCTTTTGTCCCTTCTAAGGCAGGCGAGCAGTACTACCAGCCTGTCCCCAGTGGAGACCTGGACAAGGTGCAGGGGGCTGTGTGAATATTCAGCAACATCAGCATGACAGCAGAGGCCGGGGCTTACTTGGGTCACCCGTTCCATCTCAGGTATGCCAAGAAGGCACTGGTATGGGGGAGAATGCATGAAGAGGGAGGCATGTCCGAGGCACAGGTGGCCCTGGCAGCTCTGGAGGATTGTGGAGAAGTGAGCATGGGGGCCATGGGCACAGAGATTGAAGAGGAGGAGCACTGAGTATGGAGGTGCAAGTGGAGGTGTTGCCTCTGGTTCCCTCAGCCCCTCGGCATGGCTGCCATTGCACTGTTTACAATTACAGTTTCTATAGAAACCTATATCTCTTGTGCTGTCTACCTTTGTTCATGAATGAACAGAATGTCCAGGCTCCAGTCCCCTCTATTAGCATAGGCAGCAAGGACAGCATTGATATACATGCTTTGATTCCTAGACCCCGCATGGTGGCAGGAGAGAACCAACTCCCAGAAATTGTCCCTTGTTTGACTTCCTCATATACATACCGCATGGCCCACAGGTACACACACACACACACACACACACACACACACACGCACGCACGCATGCGCACACACACACACACTACATAAATGTGTCTCTTAAAAATTTTTTTAAGTTAAAAAAATCAGGGGTTTCCCTACCCCCACACCATCACCAAATCTGCTATTTGGAAAGCTTCTTCATTGAAGGGGCATGCTAGAAAAGCTTAGAAATGGAAGGCTTAGTTGGGCATGGTGGTGCATGCCTTCAGTCCAACTACTCAGAAAGCAGAGGCCAGGAACTTCTGAGTTCTAGGTCCTGTGTCAAAAGAAGAAAGAAAGGAAGGGAGGAAGGGAGGGAGGGAGGGAGGAAGGAAGGAAGGAAACTGGAGAGATGGCTCAGCAATAGAAAATGAACATATCGACTCACAGTTGTCTGTCTTAGGAGATCCAAAGCCCTCGTTCTGGTCTCTGCCAGCGCCAGGCATGCACATGGTACACAGATATATATGCAGACAAAACACTCATAAACATGTGTGGAGGGCTGGATGAAACTGAAGAGATGATTCAGCAGTTAAGAGCACTGGCTGTTCTTCCAAAGGACAGGGGTTCAATTCCCAGCACCCACATGGCAATTTACAACTGTCTGTAACTCCAGTCTCAGGGGATCTGATGCTCTCTTCTGTCCTTCTTTGTCACCAGGTGGTGTCAGCGTGGTGCACAGACAGATGGGCAGGTAAAACACTCATATACCACCTCTCTTGCCCACCCCTCCATCCCTCTGGCTTCTGGTGGCCCAGGCTGTTCCACAGGTCCCAGCCAGGGCGCTCCAGCATGGAGGGCGGGGGTAGGGTCGGGAGGAATCTTTTCATAGTTGATTGTTTGACTTGCACTGAGTGCCTAGTGTGCACAGGGCAATGTCTCAGGCATGGGGATGGTAAGGTGGAAAGCAGCACCCAGACCATGCCTGACAAATACTGGATCTTGTAAAAATGCCTGCTGGATGACAGGAATTCACGATTACATGTAATTATCTATTTTGTGTAGGTTTCCTACTTGAAGCATTCCTTAAGGGCTCTAACAATGCCTTTTGAAATTTTTAAATTTTTTTAGACTTTTAAAATTTTTAATTAAATTATAAAGTATGAGGATTTTGTAAATGGCTTTTGCTGTTGATTCGCCTTTCTACTCTTCTCATCCCCCCCCCCCGTACCCTTCTACTCCTCTTTCATGTCACGTGTGTCTTCTTGTTCCTCCATCCTCTTCCCTTGACATCATCTTTCCAGTTTCATAGCTCACACCCACTTTCTCTTCCTTTACTACACACACCTATGTGAGCCTTGGGGTCCTTTGGATGCCACTTATCCGGCCCTGTTTCTTTGGAGAAAACTCTCCGTTGTTATTTGTCTATTGGTAGTTTGGGTGCTTAATTGTCGTAGTTCTTTTTGCATTGTAGATATTAACGTCATCCTTTGCCCTTAAGTACAGCTGTTCTCTCTACTCCTTTTCTTTTGTATAAACTTTTTTTTTTATTTAAAGATTTATTTATTTATTATGTATACAACATTCTGCCTCCATGTTTGCCTGCAGGCCAGAAGAGGGCACCAGACCCCATTACAGGTGGTTGTGAGCCACCATGTGGTTGCTGGGAATTGAACTCAGGACCTCTGGAAGAGGAGCCAGTGCTCTTAACCTCTGAGTCATCTCTCCAGCCCTTGTATAAACTTTTTAATTTCATGTAGTCCCATTTTTAATTCTCCGGGATGTTTCTGCGCCAGTGAAGTCATGTGTAGAAAATTCTTGCCTATATCTATTTGTCTTGAAATGTATTCCTTTGCTTTCCTCTGCATTTCAAACCTTAGGCTGATCTTCTTTGATTCCCGCCAAAACAAGGGGGCGTGGTTCCCGGCGCAGCTTGATGACGACATTTCGGCGCCGAGTGGCCGAATGGCGGCTTCCATCTTTTGAGAAGCTCGAGATTTGTGCGATCAGCACCGCAGGTGAGTGGCGGAAGCCGCGCGTGAGGCAGCCCCGCACCGTGCGGTTTCCTCGAGTCCCCGCCGAGGCCGGATGGATTCCTCCCTGAGCCGTGGGACTTCGGGGCTCCCGGCAGCTCCTCTTAATCGGGGCTGGCGGGAAGCGGAGGGCCCAGCTGCACCCTCACGCCACCTCCAGGGCCATGCCTTTCTGCCGCCTTTCTGCGTGGTCCTCACAACCAGTACCGGTAGGGGCTTGATGGACGCCTGATACGGGAGTTGAGGAAGGGAGGATTTGGAGTGAAAACTGAACCTTGGGCTTAGCTAGTGGTGTCGGTCGTAGAACTCGGTGTGGGTCCAGGTTCTCTACCTCCTGACTTTTCCGAGCCTCGATTTCCTCCTCTGTAATAGGGTAGTCTCGAAACTTTGCGATCAACAAATGGGGGCAGGCCGAAGTTTCTCATAGAGTAGCCAAAGTAGGGCTTGGCTGCGGCGCGATAATCTTGGCCCGAGAGCGTTGATTCTCAGTCGTGAGAAACCTCAAAGACAGAGTTGGAAGCAGCGCCTGAAGAAAGTGGATATTGAGGGGTCAAGTGAAGCGAACGCCTTTGGCACTGCCTGCGCAGTGGCACGGGGCGTGGCTGACAGGGTCTAAAATCAAGTGGGTGAGAGTCGCTGAAAAAGCCGTGGAAAGACCCACGTTTGACATCTCTGGCCCTCCCTTTCAGCTGCCTGCTTTCTGTGAGGAGAGAGTTACTTGTCTCCTCCAGAGCTCTGTCCTTATCAAATACTCCACAGTTTTGTGCTGTCCTGATCGTTTTGGAGTAGTTTGTAATTTTGGTCAGGACTGTGACATTTTAAGTTTTCCTTAATACTAAAACCGATAGTTTAAGAATTGGAAAAACCTGGGAAGTGATTGTCTTGCCAAATGGCATAGATTGGTGGTCTCCTCAAAACCGCAGCTTCCTCCTGCTCCTGCTGCTCAACTTCTCTCCTCACAGACTGCCAGCTGCCACCTTGCCATCTTTACTCCTATAGTGGGCAGAGTGTGGGGAAAAGGCCTCACTAGTCCGTCAGAATGCAGGTTTCTTCTCTGTTCTTTTTGACTATGATTACTTAGTGTTTCTGACTGCAGTGGACAGGGAGATAGGAAGCTGCAGAGGTATTCCTAATTTTTGGTGACCATTTCAAAGGCTTCCTTCCTAGAACTTGCTCTTCATTTGTAACAAAGACCTCGTTGTATGCTTTGCCTTTCTGTTTCAAATAAGAGATTTGTAAGGAGTTTGCCTGAGTCTTGACTCTGCTGCTTACTGGTTGTGTGTCAAGAAAGTTTTGCTATGTTCTACCTGCTTCCTTATATGTGTCCGCCTCATGAGGTTATGTGAAGCTGGACTTTCTGTCCTTCCAAACTTAGCACCTTTTGCATTTGCTTTCTCTTAGTTACAAAGTCACAAGGCCAAGCCAACTTAAGTGAGGTATCTGCTTAGGATATTAGAGGGGCCAAACCGAGATCTGCTCTGATTTGCTGGCTTGGGGGAGAAATGTGCTTCCAAGCTTTCTCAAGTGCCTCTCAGAATCCAGTTCCTTTGAGATCTTGACTTCTAACTGAACTCTGCTTTGTGTCCACTGACATTGTACTTCAGTTGGTTCTTCAAACTCTCTTTACAATAGTGATTAGAGGGGTGTTTGAATAGCCAAGCAAGAACAATCTTGGGGGATGTTCTGCCTGTCACTGTAATTAGATAAGGAAACAAATGGAAGGCTCTTAAAGCCGATCCAGGCATCTAGCAAGTGCTGTATAAGCCCAACCAAGCAGTGGCCACCTCCGAAGCTGTGGTCTGTATGAGCGTTGCATTTTAGAAATCAAAAGAACATGTAGTGTGATTTGTGACAAGTTCGGCACCTGCTCTCCTGGGCACTGTGAAATTGTCTAATCTGTTGTGTAGAAGATGCAGAGGTTTTGTCTTTGCTTTTCCACAGTGGTTCCCTAGCACGGCCGTTGCTGACTTCCCACAGGCTGCTATGGCATTCCCTCACCTTCAACAGCCCAGCTTTCTCCTGGTAAGTAGCTTTCTCCAGCTACCTTTGAGAGAGTTGCTGGGGTTGGTTCTATAGCAGAGGGACTTAGGACTTCTTTCTTCTGATTTGAAGGACTCATTTTTAGGGGATAAAGAATCTTGCTATAGAGCCCTGCTGCCCTCTGTTTGTTTTTTGAGATGGAATCTCTTTATGTAACTCTGACTGTTATGGAAATTGCTGTGTAGACCAGATTGACTGAGCTCACAGAGATTCGACTGCGTCTGCCTCATGAGTGCTGGGATTAAAGGCGTGTACTACCATACCTGGCAGTGCAGGCCTCTTGGAAGTCTAGTCCATCCTGCCTTACTTAGTTCACCAAGTGCTGGGATTATTGTGGGCATGTCCCACCGTATTCAGCTGATTTGAAAATCTCTCTACTAGATTTTTTTTTTTAAATAGGAAACACTACCAAAATCAGTATTAAAATACTTGGTATGCCTTCACTTAGTTCAGGATATTACATGCATTCAGTCTCTGAACTCCAGTTTTCTCATTCACCAAGTTAGTTGGTTCAGCCAGTTCTAGGGAGGCCGAGACTGAAAGGTCGTAAAGAGTTTGAGACTCATTGTCCCCTCTTGGTGCCCGCGCCGCCTTCCCTCTCTCCCGTTCCCTTTCTCTGTCTCTCTCCTCTTCTTCTTTTTCTTTACCTACCCCCCCTATAAGTAATAAATATCCAATTCTATTCTGAAAAAAAAAAGAGTTTGAGGCAGCCTGGGCTACATAGTGAGTTCCATGTCAGCCACAGCTACGCAATGAAAAATCATCTGAAAACAAAAACAAAACAAGCGTTGATTCAAATGTTATTTTCCTTAGTTTGCAGAGTGAGAATATATATTCGAGTGGTCATGATGCATAAGCTCTATGTATATGTAAGGTGTTCTAATAATTACTATCAGTGAAAGATAGATGGACACTACTACCTGTTAGGGGTTTATTTATTAGAATATGAAGCTAGGAAAGCAGAATGTGAGACAGATAATGAGTGGGGAAGGTTCTTCACTTCAGTTTCGAGAAGGTATGTTTTATGAAAAATTTTTTTCCTTTTGAGACAGGATTTCTCTGTTCTCTGTGTAGCCTTGGCTGTCCTGTAACTCATTTTGTAGACCAGGCTGCCCTCAAACTCAGAGATCCACCTGCCTCTGCCTCTGGAGTGCTGGGATTCAAGGCGTGAGCTACCATACCTGGATTTTTTTTTTCCTTAAAAATAAAAAAAACAACAATATTCTTCCTGCTGGGCAGGTGGTGGCGCTCACCTTGAATTCGAGCATCCAGGAGGCAGAGGCAGGCAGATCTCTGTGAGTTTCAGGCCAGCCTACTCTACAGTGCGAGTTCCAGGACAGCCAGGGCTGTTACATGGAAAAACCTTGTCTCAAAAAAAGCAAAGAAAAGGAAAAAAAAGTAGTATTATTTCTTAGTGTAGACTTTGGAGCCAGCTGGCTTGGCCCATGACCATAACAGTCAGATTTACCTCTCTGAGACAGGCCCCATGCAGTCCCTTCTTGTTTGGAGGTGGTCAGGACATTAGATAGCCTGGGTTCGAGCCTGCTTGTTGAAAGTCTAGCACCTCCTGATTTTAGTCTGTTTACCCAGAGGCCACTTCTCCGTGGAGTCAGTGTGTTTTCCCATGTCCCGTGACCTCAGTAGATCTCCATGGAGTCAGTGTGTTGTCCCCACAGCCCTTGATCTCATAGATCTCCATGGAGTCAGTGTGTTGTTCCCATATCTCGTGACCTCATAGATCTCCATGGAGTCAGTGTGTTGTCCCCATATCCCATGACCTCATAGATCTCCATGGAGTCGGTGTGTTGTCCCCATATCCTGTGACCTCAGTAGATCTCCTTGGCTTCTGTCCTGAGTGTTTCATTGACTTATTTGTTGTCTTAATGAATATTGAATTGGCAGAGGCCATCTGTAGTTCCAAATTACTTTAATTTTTTTTTTTAGTTTATAATATAATTATATCATTGCCTTCTTTTTTTAAGGTGGTGACTTCAGTAAGTTGTTATCCACTGGTTAAGAGAAAACAGGTGGCTGGGTGGTGGTGCACGCCTTTAATCCTAGCACTCAGGAGGCAGAGGCAGGCAGATCTTTGTGAGTTCAAGGACAGCCTGGCCTATAGCTTGAGTTCCAGGACAGCCAGGGCCCCACGAGAAACCTTGCCTTAAAAAAACCAAAAGGAGAGAGAGAGTGGGGGGTGGGGAGGAGAAGGAGGGGGAAGAGAGGGAGAGAGAAAGATAGAAGTGTTCTGTTCTCTGCTTTTATTGGCCATTCTGACTGATGATCACAGGTGCAATCATGGGTGGTTGAGGAGGTGGAAAGTTTGCATCTCCTGTGTATCACCCATACAGTAGGAGTCCTGTCCTCACTGTAGGACTAATCCTAATGCTGACCGCCTACTTGTGGGCCAGTGGGAGTTAGTTTCCTTTTGATAATGCTCTCTGAAGTAATAGGCTGCCTGAGGGAGCACCTGAGAATCTCTGGTCTAAAGGTGGTAGAATTATAGTGTCTTTCTTCTAGAAGCTCGCTGTGGCCCTTGATACATGCAGCCCTGATGCGTCAAGTGCTGGAACCAATGCTTGTGTTTCCCTTTTGATTAGACACAAACTGTAGCAAGTCTGTTTACGATTGCTCCCATTGTCTTCTAGGCGAGCCTGAAAGCCGATTCTGTGAATAAGCCCTTTGCACAGCGTTGCCAAGACTTGGTGAAAGTCATTGAAGATTTTCCAGCCAAGGTACAGCTTTTCCTGCAGGTCCCTTTGGGTGTCTCCTTAATGTGTCTATAGTGGGTAGAAGCCAGAAATGCTAGAAACATCCTACAGTACACAGGACAGCTCCCTGCAACGAGAGTATCCAGCCTAAAGCCTGGCATAGTAATGCACACTGTAGTCCTGGCACTTGGAAGGCTGGAGGATCAGGAGTTCAAGGACAGGCTACACAGCAAGTTCATGGCCCACCTTGGTTGCATGAGACTCTGTCTCAAAAACAACAAAGTATCTAGTCCCAAATAAGCATGGTACTAAGATTGAGAACATCTGATATAAATGCTTTGAGAATGTGTATTTAATACACACTTGAAATTGTTGAGCCCAAGAAGTTGGCCTGGGTAACAAATTAATACTGTTGTTATGTTTCAGTGATTTGATTTTTGTTTTTTTAAAGAAAAGTATTTCTTTCATTTTTAGTAGATGTGTGTTAAGATCAGAAGGGTTTTAGGGACTGGTGTTTATGTATGTGGAGGTATACGTGTTTGTGTATGTGTGCAGGTTCTTATAGGTATGTGTGCAACCTCGGGTATTGTTCCTCAGCCGCTGTCCACCTTGTCTGGGACCTGGGCCTTGCTGTTTAGGCTCAGTGGGCGGGTGGTCAGCAAGCCCCAGGGATTCTCCTGTGTAGCTCCTCAGCACTGGGATTATTAGCATATGCCACTACACTTCTATTTTTGTGTGCGTGCTGGGGATCAAACTCAGATCTTTAGGCTTGTGCAACACACCTTTTACTGACTAAGCGTTCTCTGTCCCCGTTAGAGTTTGTTTGTTGTTGTTGCCGTCCTACTACATAGCGAGACTCTGTCTCAAAACAAAGCTAAAACATTGGTGGAGAGGGTGAGAGAGGCCAGAGAGAGGGCTCAGTGCTTAAGAGCACTTGCTGCTCTTTCAGAGAAGCCCAGGTTCAGTCTCCAGCAACCATGCAGGCAGCTGTAACCATCTGTAACTCTGCCTCCAGGATATCTGACACCTGCTTCTGGACTCCACAGACACCTGCGCTCTTACACGCACACCCATGCACATATACACATAAATTTTAGAATAATAAAAATAAATCGTAAAGAATATTTCAGTCAAAGGCCTACTCAATTAACCCAAATCCAAGGTTGGGGTGTCACGTGACGCCAGTTGAAGAATTCGCAGCTACTCCTCCCTGCTGCAGCAGAGTCTGTGGTCTGGATGAGAGTGGCCTCAGGCACATAGTGTGGTACAAACTGGAACAGAAACGGATCAGCACTGGTCCTCAGTGAGCATGCCAGCTGCCTCACTGTGCACTATTTCAGGAATTGCATGCCATCTTCCCGTGGCTGGTGGAGAGCATCTTTGGTAGCCTGGATGGTGTCCTTGTTGGTTGGAATCTCCGATGCCTCCAGGGGCGTGTGAACCCTGTGGAGTTCAGCATAGCAATGGAATTTCTAGACCCAAGGTAGGTAGGTTTCCTGCTTGAGAAGGGCTGAGTACTTCCTCGTGTTAACAGGCCCCTTTCCTTTTTAAATTTTGTATCCAGTGGTCCCATGATGAAGTTGGTTTATAAGCTTCAAGCTGAAGACTATACCTTTGACTTTCCTGTCTCCTGCCTTCCTGTGAGTAAGCCATGGTAGTGATCAGCACTGGGGAGCGGAGTGCACAGACGGGTGACTGTTCTGTTAGTGGGCAGGGAGTGCCTCTCAGGGCCTCAGAGGTATCACAGCTTAGAAGTTCCGGGGGTGACATTTTTAAAAGCTCATCACACATTGCTGGTGGAGACTGCATCGTACTGTGGCCTGAGCAGCAGACAGGCCTGTGTGACTGCATTGCTCTGTTCTGAGTCTCCAGACCCTCAGGAAGGGTTACAGTGTGATGCTCAGGAGGTAGGACTCAAAAGACACCCAGTTCTTACCCTGGTGCGTGTGAAGCTTTCTGAGGATAAGAGGAAAATTGTAAAGCCAGCCCTGCCCAGAGGTCAGACCCTGTGCCTGTAAAGCGGGGTTTGTGTGCCTCAGCAGCTCCCCAGAGGCTGTAACAGCTGACGGTACTGTGCTGGTGGCTTCCCACCGACCTGCCTCTCTTTGCAGGGCCCTGTGAAGGCATCCATCCAGGAGAATGTCCTCCCCGACAGTCCTCTCTACCATAACAAGGTCCAGTTTCCTCCCACCGGAGGCATTGGCTTGAACCTGGCCCTCAGTATCCTTTGGTGACCCAAGGTGTGGGAGGTGTTGAAGGTGGCCCATTACCTCTACATTTGTCCCTTGACACTGTCATCAGATCCATTTGAATACTATATGTTCTTCTTTGCCCTGAGCCTCATCTCTCAAAAGGTACAGAAGGGATACCTCGGCATGTGGCTTGTGCAGACCCCACAGGGAAGGGCAGGGCGTGGCCATGGATGTCCTTGTAAGCCAGTGCTCACAGCACTAATAACAGTTTTGGTTTTCTAGCCAATGCCTATGTCCCTCCATGTTCGTACTTCAGACTGTGCCTATTTCATCCTGGTGGACAGGTACCTGTCGTGGTTCCTGCCCACTGAAGGCAGTGTGCCTCCACCACTCTCCTCCAGCCCAGGGGGGTCCAGCCCCTCACCAGCTCCCAGGTAAGGCTGCCTTGACTGTTAAGATCTGGTCCTTCTACTGGGAGTGGGGCCTCATTAATGACCTTGTCCAAGCATTGCCCTGTTAAGTATTGGTATCTCTGTCCAAGGCTCCCCAATCTTTCTGGGGTCCCATTCTCAACTTCCCTTGTCCTGACAAAGACAGGGGGTAAGACTTGTCTCTGACCTCATTGACAAGGCCTTGCCATAGAGTGGCCCTCACTGCAGATGAGGTCTGAGTTCTACCAAAGCAATGAGTAGAGTGGAGGGCAAAATGTTGTCTTGTCTTCAGAAGAGATGATCGTATAAGTCAGTGGGTCAGTGGGAGAGCCTGCGCTGAGAAGCTTTTGTGCCAGACCACTTGCTAAGCCTGCTGCTGTACTGCGCATTTGGAAGTGGCTATGGCTGCAGTTTGAGAGTGGGTTGGGACCTCTCCAGCCGCTTTTTCTAAGGTTTTAATGGGCCCTTAGCCCTGAGCCTCTTGATCCTTCTCCTTGGAAACCTTTCTGCCCGAGCAGGAGCTGTCTGAGGTTCTCTGCTCCCTCCCCTCACTGCCTGCTCTAGGAGTCTGTAGGCAGACACTGATGCAGGCTCTGGTCCAGCCCATATCTGCTGGTATGTGCATGTCAGGCATACCTTCTTCTCAAACTCACTATGTGGGCAGATGCCCTCAAAGGTAGACGTGGGAGGTGAGGCTGTGGAGGTGGCAATGGCTAGTGACCTGACCCTGATCCCTGGTAGTTCTATAGCTGGGGAGGAGAACGTGGAGGTCTAGTAAATTCTTACCTTCTCCAAGGTGGAATTCAGGGGCTAAATGATTGCCTGAGCCTAGTTTGTTGCTTGCTTTAACTTTTCATTTTGAAGTAATATCACACTTAAAGAAAAGTTGCTAGAAATAACTTTCACAAGCTTTTTAACCTAGATTTCGAAATTATGACTGACACAGTTATGACTCTGTTTGTAAAGAATATATGGTTGTTTGTTTTATTTTGTCCAACCACTCACGCTGTGTAGCCTAGACTGCCTTCAAATTCATGATCCTCTTGTTTCCACCTCCTGAATATTGGGTTACAAATGTGCCATGCTTTCCTGGACCATTTGGTATTCCACTGTGTTTCCTAGAGGCCATCACATTCTTGATGGAGCATAGTGCATCTGTTCGTCTTGGGTGCTAATTTACTACCAGATTCCCTCATCAAATCTTGAGAGCCTGTTCACTACCAGCTACCCCAGCCATGTCTGCTGACTAGAGTCTGGTCCTTGCCAGCGGCTCATTGTGCAGTTAGTTGTCTTGGGTTTCTACTGCTGTGATGCAGACCATGAGCAGAGCAATGCAGGGAGGAAAGGGTCTATTTCATCTCTATCACTGAGGGAAGTCAGGGCATGAACTAAAGCGGAAGCCACCGAAGAATACTTTGTACTAACTTGCTCCTTGTTCAGCCTGCTTTCTAAAGCAGCTCAGGAGCACTTGTGCAGGGGTGGCACTGCCCCCCCCCTCTTTGGGCTGGGCCTCCTGTATCAGCTATTAAATACGAAGATACGCGACAGACTTGCTCCAGACAGTTTGATACCACGTTTTCAATTAAGTTTCCTCTTCCCAGATGACTGTAGCTTGTGTCAAGTTGACAAAATACTAACTGGGACAGAGGTCATCTCGGTAGCCCTTTGCCCCTCATTCCTCCTGTGCTTCCTGACTGTGGCAGAGGTTCCTGTGTGTTTGGCAAACTGGGTGTAGGTATTCCGTTCCTTGGGTATCTGCGCATGCCTAGGCCCGACTTGGGCTGAGCAAGCAGGAGTACCACAGTAGGAATACCAAGTTCTTCCCAGTGTCCTGTCAGATCTTTGTTGTCGCTGTGCTCCATTAGTGGTGATAGGTTCTTAGTCATTGTATTTAAGGTTGTTAGCCAGGTTTTTCTACTATAAATTCAAATCTATACTCTGTACCTGGATCAAGGACTTTGTGGATAAGAATGTCAAATCCTCATTTATTTTAGCATCTCCTGTTCTCAGTTACACAGTTATTAATAGAGCATATCATAAGTTGTGAATTTCTGATGTCATCCCTTTTTTTAGCATCCCATTTGCCAAGTAGACGGTTTATAGTAAAGGTGTTAAGTGTATCAGTATGGACCTTGTTGCACTGTGATTCAGTATGTTGTAGGTGACTATTGGTATCATTGATTTTGGTGTCAGTAGAAGTCTCTAACTTACTATTGTCTCTGTATCTCCTGTTAGGACCCCAGCCATGCCCTTTGCCTCCTATGGTCTCCACACTAGCCTCTTGAAGCGACACATCTCTCATCAGACATCTGTGAATGCAGACCCTGCATCCCATGAGATCTGGCGATCAGAAACTCTGCTCCAGGTAAAAACAAAGACAGCCAGTCCCTGCTTCTCTTTCAGGACAAACGGCTAGCTAACACCTTCCACCATGTGGGGCAGAATCCCAAAGACACCTAGTCAGCTGGAGTCTGAGTCTAGATGGCAGTTTGAAAGCAATGAAGAGAAGCTGGTGTACTCTTGTAAGCTAAGTGTCATAGACAGTATTTTCTGTCCCAGATTCCCTTATCCACAGTACTGTTTTCCTCACAAGGACATATTCATTCACCTGCCATCTAGTTTCCAGTGGATCCATCTGTGTATGTGTTCCATGTGCCCCACCTTGTTCCCTATGCTGAGTATTGGGTCCTGCTGCAGGCATTTCTGTGTGATGTTATATGATGAGGGCCCTCACAACCTCCATCTTGGTCAGCAGTGAGCTCTCAGCCATTGAGCAGGAGATGCAAGTGGAAGGGCAGAGTCCCTCAGGGGCTCGGTCAGTCCCTCAGGGCCCTGCCCTCTCCCATGTCCCAGTGTCTGGAGAAAATCAGCTTTTTCCAGGGCTGGATTCTGGGGCTCATGTGATTAACAGAGCAGCACTGGGAAGGCTGGAATTCAGTCCCCAACTGTGCACCCCTAGAATATGGGTGCTGTGCTTTTAGAAATCTCCTGCTTATTTTCAGAGTAGCCCCGGAAGGTCATTGTCATCAGTGTTCCCAGAGGGGTTTGTGTTGGAGCAGATGGCTCACGGGATGTGGGCTCTGTCCATCCGTGAGGACAGATGACAAAGACAAAGCTTACAGAAGAGGTGGACTCTGTTTCTTGAGCCAGAGCAGCAATTCTTTTTATTTTTTTATAAAAAAATTAATTGTAGGGAAGTATATATAACATGAATTTTAACATCTTTTCTGTTTAGTTTTTTGAGACACTTTCTATGTAATCCAGGCTTAGAACTTTATGTCCATGTACATATGCCTCTTAAGTACATATTAACCATTTTTAAGTAGTATTAAGTACATTTGATTGTTGTGCATGTGATACACTTTTTAAAAATGTATGCGTACATGTATTCATGTATGCATGCTTGTGCATGCGTTAGTGCATGTAGCATGCGCCTGTGGAATTTATGTGGATGCAGTTGCTCACACAGGCCAGGAGAGGGCATCAGATGCTCTAGAAAGGAGTTACAGGTGATTGTAAGTACCATGTGGGTGCTAGGAACTGAACCATTGCAATAATAGCAAGTACTCTTAACTGCTGAGCCTTTCCAAACTGCATAAATCTCTAATTTTGACTAATTTTTTGAGAATTCCATATATGCATACAGTATATTTGGATCACACTAATCCTCACTGCTCCTCCCAGATCCAATACCCCATTCCCTTACTTCTCCCAACTTCCCATGCTTGCTTTTCCTTCTTTCCTCTCCCTTCCTTTTTTGCTTTTGTAGCTCACTGAGTCCAGTCTGTGCTGCCCATGTACTCATGAGTATAGGACTTCCCCTGGAGTTCAGTCAACCTACAGGGAGCCACACCATCAAAGAACACCCCCCCACACACACACACACACACACACTCCCAGAAGTCATCAGTTTTTGGTAGCTCCTCAGTTAGAGCCAGGAGCATGTGAGTTTCTTCTTCCGTGCTAACCTTGTGTGGGCGACCCCAGCAGCTGTGAGCTTTTGAGTACAGTGGTCTTGTCTTGTCCAGACGACACTTGACTCCAGCTCTTCCTGACCTCTGGCTCTTATAATCCTTTAGCCCATATTCCACAATGCTCCCTTATGCATCCTTTGAGGGACGTGGTAAAACCACATTTTGTCTTGAAAAAGGAACTAACCTTTCATTGCTGTTCTCCGTATCCCTTTCCTCCTAGCTCCAGGAAATATTACTTTGCTTCTGTCTCTACTATCTGACTTCTCTAGGCACCTCACTTCTAGTGGATTTATCTAGATTATGTGGAATATTTTTGTGACTGATTTGCTTTATTTAGCGTAATGTTCTCAGGGTTCATTCTCGTAGCATGATCAGAATGTCTAACCTTTTACTGGACGTAGTGTCTCATCCTGGTAATCCCTGACTTAGATACCTGAGACAGAAGGATCTTAAGTTTAGAGACCTTGTCTCTAAAGCTTAAACAAAGTCTCTCATTTTTTTAAAATATTTATTTATTATGTATACAATATTCTGTCTGTGTGTGTGCACCTGCATGTCAGAAGAGGGCACCAGGCCTTATTACAGATGGTTGTGAGCCACCATGTGGTTGCCGGGAACTGAACTCAGGACCTTTGGAAGAGCAGGCAATGCTCTTAACCACTGAGCCATCTCTCCAGCCCCAAAGTCTCTCATTTTTAATGGTCAAGTAGTACTCTGTTAGATGGCTATATCCATTTATCTGTCTGTAGACACTTGGGTTATGTCTCCTTTTTAGCTAGCTATTGGGAATATTAGCCTGCTGTGAATGTTGATGTTCAGTTATCTACTTCTAGATTTATTTAGCTTTACTTTTATTTATCTGTATATGTATGGGTATGTATCATTCATTTAAGTACAAAGGTCAGAAGTTTTAGATCTGAACTGCTATGTAGGTACTGGGAACTGAACTAACCCTGGGTCCTCTGGAAGAGCAGCAAGTGCTCATAACCACTGAGACATCTCTCCAGCCCCCTGCTTTTAGGTCTTTGGAATATAATGTACCTCGAAATAGCCTTGTGAGGCCACATGGTAGTTCTGCTTACTTTTTTCCGTTTTTTTTGTTTGTTTGTTTATTTGTTTTGTTTTGTTTTTCAAGACAGGGTTTCACTGTGTCACTCTGGTTATCCTGGAACTTGCTCTGTAGACCAGGCTGGCCTTGAACTCACAGAGATTTGTCTGCCTCTGCCTTGTGAGTGCTGGGATTAAAGGTGTGCGCCGCCACCACCCAGCCTGTTTTCTGTTTTATAGCCATTGCCCCCTTTCCTCTAAGTAGAGTATATGGGTTCCATTTTTTTCACATGGGAAATCAGTATTGTCTCTTATTTTGTGTTTTTTTTTTTCTTTTTAATGTGTGTGAGTATTTTGCCTTCATGTGTGTGTACACCATGTTCAAGTTAGAAGACGGCAGCAGATCCTCTAGAACAGTAGTTACAGGTGTTGTAAACCATCGTGTGTGCTGGGAACTGAGTGGCTGCTGTAACTCAGTGGGTATGAAGTGTTGTCATTTTGATTTATCTAATAATTAGCAATAGGTTGACTGTCTTTTAAGGTTTTATTGGCTTTTTGTCTATCCTATTTGGAGCATTGTCCTTTTGATACAGGGTTAAGTTTTTAAGTTTGTATATTCTACATAGAAATTCCTTCTCAGATAAGGGTTGGGAGGTCGTGAGTGTGTTCTCCTATTTTGTCGCTTGCTTTCACTCTGTAAAAGGGTCTTGTTTTTGATGATGTTCCTGTTGTCTTTTGTGTGTGTGTGTGTGTGTGTGACTTCAAAGCTTCTCCCTGTGTTTTCCTCTGAGTCTTGTAGTTTGGGCTCTTGTACATAGGCCAGCATTCCATTTTGCATTAATTCTTGTGTGTGGGATCAGGTGCTTCACAGCTTGCTTCTTTGGCATGTGGGCTGCCTGTTTCCAGCACCATTTGTTGGAAAGACTTCCTCACCATTAAATGGTATAATGACCTGTTGACAGTGTGATCAGTTAATGTCCTTTTGCAGGTTTTTGTTGAAATGTGGCTTCATCATTATTCCCTGGAAATGTACCAGAAAATGCAGTCCCCTCATGCCAAGGTATGTGTCTATGGTTATTAATCCATCTCCTGTCTCATGCCCTTGCTAGCCTGCTGTATCTTGTCAGCATGAGTCACTTGTGCCAGCTTTGATGGAGGGAAGCAGAAGCCCATTCATTGCTCACCCTTCACTTGGACACCGTACACAGTGATGACCTTTGAGCCTGAGGTCCTCGCTGTGCAGCTCTGCGTCTCTTCCCACCACTGGGACAGGCTCAGGTCTGATGCCATTTGTGATGTGTGGGCTCTGGGACCCTCCTGCATGTGGCCTAGCCTGCTCTTCCTCCTCTCCTCTTCCTTGGCCTTTCCCTTGCCTTCCTCCCTGGGTAGCACACTCATTTGCAGAGATGTGGAGGTGGCAGTGTCCCTGGAACCTCCTGATGTTGATGCCCCTTGAGCAGGTACTCTAGTGGGCTGGTCAGAGTAAAACAGTTCTGTTCAGTTAGTGAGTGGCCCGATGGGTCTTGAGAGTCACAGGCGGCGTCAACACACACTGCTGCTTGGTCTCCTTACCCTGTAGACTGATCTTGTCATGGCCAGGTGAACTCTTGAGCACTTCCCTTAAAATGAAGAGTGCATGGGTGATGGTGTTCCCATTGAGAAGTCCTGTAACTGACTTAGTAGGAGCCCTGGATACTGCTACCGCAGCATCGCTGTAGCCATTTAGTTCTCTGACTCCAGCATTCTGCCGTGTTGAAGACGGAGACTCTCCCACAACTTGCAAAGTGCAGAGCGCGGGGGGGGGGGGGGGATGTCCATTCATAGCATCACATTGGGAAAGGAGGACAGGGAAAGGCTGAAGATCCTCCTAGACCTTGGGCACCACTGAGAGCCCACAACACCCTTCCTGATTCCAGCCAGACTTGCTCATGCTCTAGGCTGGCACATGGAAGGCTGGTACTGGGCTTCTCCAGGTTCCCAGGCCCCCAGCTGACTCAGCCTTGTCCACCTGGCTTGGCCTTGCTGAGGCAGACTTGCTTTGCTGCAGTGATTCCTGTCGCTCCTGCTGTCTTTCCAGTAAGTAGAAGCCACACCTGCTCTCAAGAGCCAACCAGAAAGGCCCTTCTAGGTTGTTCCCTCTGACGAGTTTATCTTCTGTGGTCAGAGGGAAGGGTCAGTGGGTTGTCTCTGTGTGGAAGAGGACTTCCCTCTCTTCCCCACAGTTGTTTCCTCTTGGCCAGACCTTGGGTGGATGAGGTGTGCTGGGAAGGTTGGTGTTCCCTGGATGACTGTACTTTTCTGCCTTCTACTGAGACAGAACATAGAACCCAGCCAGAGGTTTCCAGTGGCTGGAAACCAGGCAAGGCAGCTGCAGAAGTTGCCCTCCTCTATAGCTCCGTCCTGTTACTGGGACCTGTACTGTACCTTCCAGAAATCCTTTCCAGTCCCCACCAAGCCTCCACTGCCACATGCAAAAAATTGGGCACCTGTGATTCCACTCAGGTCAGACTTGTCCAGAGTACGTGCTCACTCCCCGTGACTGGGGTCAGTGCTGGCTGTGGTCTTCAGGGGACCTGCCCTGTGTTCCTGCATGAAGGGGAGCCTGATTTCTCTCGGAGCACTGCAGTTGAGCCTGGGGTCTGGCACAAAGGAAGCCTGTGAGGAAGGGCCTTTGCTCCCTTTACTGGAGGCTCCATGGCAAGTCCATTCTTTCCTCTCCTGGTAGGGCATGGCCTTTGTGGGGCATGAGTGTGCTAGCATTGGAAATGCTTTAGCAGGCAGTGGTGCTGCAGGGAGGTGGGGTAGAGGGTGCTTGGGTGGGGCCAGGAGGCTTGCTGGCTTGGCTGTTACCTCTGCTGTCCTAGACTGCCCCAGCCTCTAGGAGGATGAGACTCTGTTGGATTTTGGGGGGGGGGTTCCTTCCCTTGGAAGCCCTGTGTGCCGAGAGACAAGAAGTAGAAAAGTCTGTCTCCCCAGTTTGAACTAGTAAGCACCCCTACCTTTAGCAGTTTCCAGTGTAGGGACAGAGAACAACCTGGTGGGCCGGGCCTGGGCCCATCTACTCAGATTGAAGAGAACCATCTCATGGAAGGATGTTTATGGTTTTAGATGTGTGAGAATTGGTTCTTTCACATACTCATCTACTGACTTGGTTAATAGATTCACTCTCCCCCTTTTCTGGTACTGGGGGTTGAACCTAGGCCTCACACATGTGTGGTATGCTTTCTACCACTGAGCTGTATTCTCAATTAATTTGTAAACTTCTCGTCAAGTCGACTCATGGAGTCCCTCAGTACTTCCTCACTCAATATCCAAGGGATGCCTCAGAGCCTGCTCCTCAGTATTCCTAGGTCTTTGCATCATTAATTCCCTTGTGTAAAATGCTCTTGCATATAACTGACCTGTCCTGCTTTTAAGGTTTTCCCTACATGTGCCTGTAATCTGGCACTCCAGAGGCTGAGACAGAAGAATTGCAAGTTCCACGCCCGGTCTCAAAACAAAATACCTCAAGATTACTTAATACTTCATGTGCATGTTTAGGACAGAGGCCTTTCTAAATTGGTCAGTTCCATGTGGATCCCATATATACAGAAGGCCAGTTGTACACCTCCACCCCGAAGTCCTTCTGTGCTTGGCCCAGAGGTTTCTTTTCTGAGCCTCGACATGGTATCAATAGCATGTCCCAGTGTCAGTGAGCTTTGGTGGGCTGTTACGTGTACACATTGTAACTACACGTCGTCATTTTAGGGTTAGTGGTGGGACAGTGTTATACTTCTGGAAAAACAGAATTGGGCATACCCCAGAGCTTCTGAGGCCTTCAGCCCCAGCAGCCCAAGACTTCCTGGTGATCTTATGAGGGCTGACCAGCTGTGTAGGAACCTTGTGAGGGCTGACAATGCATAGGGACCTTGTGAGGGCTCACCATGTGTAGGGATCTTGAGGGTTCATCTGTCTGAGCTGGGGTTTGCCTGCGGGAGTCCAGGGCTGCTGGGCAGTTTTTGGGTATTGCCACTGATGAACTTTTGTTCTTGTTTTTTGTTTTTTTCTCCTTTGTTCTTTCTCTTGGGCTCCTCATGTTTTCTCCCCTCTTCTCTGCCCCCATCCTATCCTACCCTTTCCCTTCCCCACCCTGTACGTCCTCTGATCTGCCTCTTCTTGGCCTTTCTCTGTTTGTTGTCTCTCAGTTGGAAGTTCTACACTACCGACTCAATGTCTCCAGCGCCCTCCACAGCCCTGCCCAACCCAGCCTCCAGGCCCTCCACGCCTATCAAGTACTGGCCTTTCCTTCCCTTCCCCTGCCCCAAGGTGGGCGCAAGAGTATGTGTTGGTAGAGTGTACAGTAAAGGGTCTCCCAGAAGTCTGGTGTGGTCCTTAAGAGGGAGTCCTGAGCAAAATGACACCCATGTATTTAGAGGCAGGCCCAATTCAGCCTTCAGCTTGACTTGCCCTTCAGGTTTGCCGGCTAACCAGGTTTTGGTGTATGGCCATGTGGCTGTGTGAGGCACACAGCCTGGAAGATTATGGAATCTTCCTCCTAAGCCCCTAGCCTGCAGGGCAGTCTCAACCTCTCAGGATTTGTGGGGGAGCCTTGCAGTGGTCTGACTTCCTCACTACACAGAGGACTTACGTGTGATGTGGCTCCTGCCCTGTTCAGGGGCATGTGGCTGAAGGATGTAGCTATATCACAAGAGAGTAGGAAAACATGGGGTCCTTCTGTTGAGCCCCAGCCACTTAGACTCATTCAGAGGCAAATGAGAGCAAGTGGTGCCCTCGTGGAGGTTGGTGCCTACTTAGGGAGAAATGACCAATATATAAGTGGACTTGAGGTCGGTAGAGTGAAGTTCAGACCTCAGGTATTTGGGGGAATGGAGGTGGCTGATTTGTGAGAAACCATGGCAATGCCGATATGTGCTCCCAAACAGGGCTGTGTCTGATTTACCCTGGGGAAGAACATTATAACAGCTGACACTGAATTGAACAAAGGTGAAAAAAACCAGGCTTGCCCACTGAGTGTTGCTGGCTTCACACAGTAAGTTGCTGCTTAGAAGCAGCAGCTAGTGAGGAGCTCCCATGGACGGACTGGGCAGTGAAGCAGCTTCCAGGGAAGACCCCATAGCAGTAACTGTGAAGATGAGCCCGAGGCTGGGCACAGTGGGAAATGCTATGGGCTGTGGGAGCACATCCTCCTGTCATTAGAAAGTACAGATGGCACTGGGGACACCTATAATGCCCCTCTAGCATGTGAGCGTCCCCCCAACCCCATAGGAGATGGCTGGGAAGGGTGCCCAGGGCTGGTCACCTACAACCTCATGAAAAGCCGGGTAAGATGGGGCAGTGCTTGCTGCTGGGGGAGATGGGGTGCGGCTCCTATGATGGTGCTGTTTGCTTTCTAAGCTGAGGGACCGAGTTGATGTCACTGCTCAGGGTGTCGGGCCAGGAGAGGAGCTGTATGGAGAGGGGATATATGAGTGGGAGCTATAGCCTGGCCTGACGGTTGTTAGTGTTGATTAGCCCTTGTGACTATTGTATGTTCAAGGCCAGCCTGGTCTATAAAGTGAGTTCAAGACAGCCAGGACTGTTACACAGAGAAATCTTGTGTCAAAAAATGAAAAACAAACAAACAAAAAATAGAAAATGGACTAGAACTCTGGTGAGCTGGTATGGTTTATTCCAGTTGTCCAATTGCATTTAACTTGTGTTAAACTTTTTTTTTTTTTTCTCTTATCTCTTTTTGGTTTTTTTGAGACAGGGTTTCTCTGTAACAGTCCTGGCTGTCCTGGAACTTGCTTTGTGGAACAGGCTGGCCTCCAACTCACTGAGATCTGCCTACCTCTGCCTTCCAAATGCTGGGGTTAAAAGCGTGAGCCACCACTGCCCAGCCCATTTTCTATTACTAACAATGTCACAGCTGGTCAGTTATAAAGAACAAAAGGTTTTTGGTTTTGTTTTTACTTAATGCTTTACTTTAGTGCTGGCCGACGTCATGGCAGGGGACAAGAAGTGGTGTTGACCAAACTAGGTCAGCGCCTGTGAGGAGGAGGCAGGCAGGTGGCCACTCTGAGGCCAATCTGAGCCACTTGGTGTGACTGTCTCAAAAAGCTCAGGGCTGGCAGTATAGCTCAGTGGCTCAGATCTTGCAGAACCTGCTCAATGCCTGGGTTCTGCCTCCAAGAGGCCAGACTGCCTTTATGGCACTCGCTCTGGAGATGACCCACTAAGCCACTATGATATATATATGATAGGATTGACCCCTCCTGAGCTCAGAGCCCTGATCAGATGGTGATCTTCAGGGTCACCAGGCCCATCTTTAAATACCTGAATAGTGGGAATTAGGTTAGATTTCCTATTTTTAGAGGGTGTAGACTGTGTCTCGTCTGTTCTTCCTTGGAAGCAGGGAGTCCTTTGGCAAGACTTTGAAGTTCTCGATAACCAGAGGAGAACAGCCTTCCTTATAGCTAGTGTGGTGTGACCTGGGAGTGGGGCCTTTCTCTCCCCCTTCTTTCTTTTTGAAACAGTTTTATTATGTAGCCTTGGCTTGCCTGCCATGTAGGCTATGATAGCTTAGAACTTAGAACAGTCCCTCTGTCTCTGCCTCCAAATGGTGGGATTGTAGCCATTTGCCACCATGCCCAGCCATAGTGAAGGCATTTTAATGACACAGAGGCCTGAGTATGGTCTCCTGTGTGTCAGAGAGTCAGGCCGTTTGCCAGCCTTAGCTCCACAACTCATCAGGGCCCAAAGGATGCGGGGTAAGAGAGGGCCTGACTGGACTCACTCCTGCCTCCAGATGGCATCTCTATTCCTTGCCAAAAAAAACACCACCTATACTCAGATGCTCAACAGCCAGAGAGGCGGGGAGCCAATAAAAGGCCCCTTTTAGTCCAAAGATTGTGTTTACATTGTGTCTAAAGTTCACCTCACAAGCCTGAGAATTCTCTAGTCCTGGGGACTTTAGCTGACTGGCAGTGGGGGAAGTAACTCCTTGGCTTCCTCCAGTCTTGGGTCTTCATCTGACTGCCTAGGACAGGCAGCTGGGCGGGCCTGGGCTTGTGGCTGGAGAAGGAACTGGGAAGAAAAGACATACTCACTTGAGCAAGGTGAGCTTTCTGCACGTTAGGAGGCAGCCAGACAACCTTGGATCCAGAGCCTAGGTGGGCTAGTGGCCCACCCTGTGTTCACCATCTGGCTCAGCAGGAGGCAGGGCCCTGAGGCCCAGCACAGGCTGCAGTTGTCTGAGGGTGCATGGCCAGATATTGCCAAGGTGGGGTGTGAGGCCACGTGCCTCAGTGCTCTGGGCTGCTGTCAGTTCTGCTCAGGCAGCATGAGATGTCCTGCCTGGCCTGATGCTTGTCTCCTGTGGGGCTGCAGTAGGTGCTGTAGCTCTCGCCCAGCCTGACACCACACCCCTCCCTAGGAGTCCTTCACACCTACTGAGGAGCACGTGCTTGTGGTGCGCCTGCTGCTGAAGCACCTCCACGCCTTTGCCAACAGCCTGAAGCCAGACCAGGCTTCTCCGTCGACACACTCACATGCCACCAGCCCCCTGGAGGAGTTCAAACGGTGGGTGTAGGGTGTGATAGGGCTTCTAGGCCTTCGTTCCCCTTCTGTCTACTGTGACAGATACCTGCTGGCCTGTTTGAGGCCAGAGGGATGGCGGCTGCTGCTCTTAAAGCCTTCCCTGAGGATGAGGTTCTCATCCTTCCTAATGCTGCAACCCTTTAATACAGTCCTATTTGCTGTGCTGGCCCCCAGCCATAAAATTATTTGTTGCTACTTCATAACTGTAATTTTGCTACTGTTATGAATCATAATGTAAATATCTGATAGGCGACCCTAAAGGGGTCACGACCCACAGGTTGAGAACCACTGCTCTAGCTGCTCCCTGTGTAGTGGAAAGAGCTGCCTGGCCAGAGATCACAGCCTTGCTGTTCTGTCTTACCCCTTACCTCAGTCAGGAGACAGACTGGTGCCACAGTCTGACTTCAAAGACAACTTATATACTGTGTTCTTGACCTTTGGTTTCTTCTGGAGAACAGGACTAAAAACAGATTGTACCTCAGAGGAATGCTCAGTGTTCCCTACAGGCAGAACAGATTTATTCACAGGCCATGGCTGGCGCCTATGAGCAGCCACACACCTCTGGGCAAGTGACAGCGCATGACCCTCCTGTCTCCACAGGGCTGCAGTGCCACGGTTTGTCCAGCAGAAGCTATATGTCTTCTTACAGCACTGTTTTGGCCACTGGCCTCTGGATGCATCCTTCAGAGCGGTAAGCACTTATCCCCTGCCCTCATCCTCACTGTTGCCTCCTGGGCCATGAAGTTGGCAGCCTGTGGGGTGGGGGTCTGTCACCACGGGCCTTAGAGGTAAAGGCTTGCTGTTCTGTTGGCTTTGAGTACTGAGAGCCATACTCTGTTCCCACAGCCCTCAAAGGGACTTGCCCAAGGTACTTGAGTTCCTGCAGTGTGTTCTTGGGAGACTGTAGGAGGAGCTAATCACTTACTGGCATCTACATTGCAGTTGGAGAAAAGTCCAGAGCCCAGCAGGGCATTAGCCCTACAACTAGGGCATAGATCTTTCCATGGACTGTCTTCAGAGCCGGGTCTAGATCATCAAAGGATGTGTCTGAAAGTCAAGTGCTCTAGCCTACAACCACAGGCCTTCAGGGCACATGTGTCCCTTCTTAGGTCCTGGAGATGTGGCTGAGCTACCTGCAGCCGTGGAGGTATGCTCCCGAGAAGCAAGCTCAGAGCAGTGATGCCCAGCCACGGTCTGTGTCGGAGAAATGGTGAGCACCCCAGCCTACGGACCCAGTGATAGCACTGCCCTCTCGAGCGGAAGCTGCCTGGTGGACTGTGCTTCAGTCTCACAGAATGGGGACAGAGCATGACCTGGAGCCCCATCTCCTTGCTTTGGTGTATCCTGGCTCCATGGCTATCCCAGGGATCACCCTTACCAGCACCCCTTTATCTTATACTCCTTGGGGGGACGGGGGTCACTATGGCCTTTCCTCTCCTGGGTCCCAGTCTTGCTCTTCACATCCTGTTCCAGGAGACCTTGTGATGCCCATGGCCCTCTTGCGAAGGGTCATATGTTTGATGCTTAGTCACACCAGAGGACTGAAGTGTTGCACCCCTCTTCCCGCCTAATGCCTGTGACTCCTTTGTATGGTGGCAGCAGCTGGGGGTGTCAGGAAGGGTGAGCTGTAGGAAGTAAGGACCAGTGTGGCTCCTGCCTCCAATAAGAGGTCTACATCATAGTCTTACTCTGCCTGGTCCCCATCCTGCCTCTTGTCTGCAGGGCACCCTTCATCCAGGAAAACCTGCTCGTGTACACCAAACTGTTTGTGAGCTTCCTGAATCGTGCACTCCGCACAGACCTGGTCAGCCCCAAAAACGCACTCATGGTATTCCGAGTGGCTAAGGTCTTTGCCCAGCCCAACCTGACTGAGATGATCCAGAAAGGTGAGTCTTAGCCCTGGACCAGCCCCACCGAGCTAGGACGTCAGCTGCTGAGAGGCAGCACAGAGGAACAAAAGGATGCTGCATGACTCAAGGACTTTCACTTTGGCTTGGGGACTTTTGGGGCACATCAAAAGTTAGTAAACGCTCTGGGCTTGGTTGAATGTCCCATTCCCAGTGCTGGCAGCCAGGCAATGGCTGTACTGAGCTCAGAGAGATGGGCAGCCGAGCTCTGAACTGCTGCTGGTCTCTGCTGACGAGTGGACGGTGACAGGCACCAGCTGCTGCCGCTGACCTACTGGTCCACTGTTGGTGCAGCTGGGGCTCCCAAGCCTCGGAGCCTTTGACAACCCAAGTACGACCCCTGCTCAGCATTGCCACAGCTCTTCAGGAGCCTGAGAAAATGGTGTGGAATTCTACCAGGAGCTCCTGGGAAGCAGGTGCCAGACTCCTCTTGCTTTCTAGGAGAGCAGCTGTTCCTGGAGCCAGAGCTCATCATTCCCCACCGCCAGCATCGTCATTTCACAGTCACCAGCAGCTTCCTGTCACCATGGCCCCCAGTTGTGACAGATGCCTCATTCAAGGTGAAGAGCCATGTCTACAGTCTGGAGGGCCAAGACTGCAAATATACCCCAATGTTTGGTCCTGAAGTCCGGACCCTGGTGAGTTACCAAAGGTCCACGCTAATGTGAGGTCCCTGAAGTATTGAAGACTAGCTAAAGCGGGGAAGAAAGGAGAAAGGCTGGGTACTGAGTAGATGCTCCAAGTCCTTCCCTCCCCTCCCCTCCCATGCCTCCTCCCCTACCCAATAACGGGTAGTATTTTCTCATAATCAAGACTGTCTACACCATAAATGCCATTTTCCCTCTGGGTGGGCACTCTTCCTAGAGTTGGTTACCCAGGACCACCCTGCTTTAATGCAGTGACACCATCTTTGGTGGCCCCTTGAGCCATCTGCCATGCCTGTGCCTCCCTCGCAGGTCTTGCGCCTTGCTCAGCTCATCGCCCAGGCCAAGCAGACTGCCAAGTCCATCTCTGATCAGTGTGTGGAAAGCCCAGCTAGCCGTTCCTTCCTGTCATGGCTGGGTTTTGGCACCACAGACCCAAATAGCTGCTACCCCTGCAATGATCTGGATGAGATGGGTCAGGACAGTGTCCGCAAGACAGATGAGTACCTGGAGAAGGCCCTGGAGTACCTGCGCCAGATATTCCGAGTATGTCCTAACACAGCTCCCTCTGTGAGGGACTCACTCTAGTGGGGGTGAAGAGTTCGCCCCTTCCTTCCCTTTGAAATTCCCCCTGAAAGCAGAGACCTTCTCTCTGCTAGCTCAGTGAAGCCCAGCTGGCCCAACTCACGCTTGCCATGGGGAACGCACAGGATGAGAATGGGAAGCAGCAGCTACCAGATTGCATTGTGGGGGAAGAAGGACTCATCCTTACACCCCTGGGCCGCTATCAGGTAGGTCACCAACAGACTGCTACCACTTCTTTTACAAGGGGTGCATAATGGTCACATGATCTGTCCTTGACTTCCCCTACCCTCTTGCCCATGTTGTTTGCAAGGATGTATTTTTGGAACTTTTCTCACTGCCTGGGTTTCTAGATCATTAATGGTCTGCGAAGGTTTGAAATTGAGTACCAGGGGGACTTAGAGCTGCAGCCCATCCGGAGCTACGAAATCACCAGTCTGGTCCGAGCACTCTTCCGACTGTCCTCTGCCATCAACCGCAGAGTAAGTGAGCAGCTGGGGCGGCTGGGCTTCCAGAGAGCGCTCCTGCCCCAGGCAGCATCTTCCCCTTCACAGCCCTGCTTGATCCAAGTCTGGGTAGAGAGGGAGGCAGCCTGGAATGGAGCGTGCTCTGCTGTCCCCAACACTGCTGAGATCATGCTTGTTACTCAGTTTGCAGGCCAGATGGCAGCTCTGTGCTCCCGGAATGACTTCCTTGGCAGCTTCTGTCGTTATCACCTCACTGAGCCAGCCCTGAGCAACAGACATCTGCTGAGCCCTGTGGGGCGGAGGCAGGTGACCAGTCCTGCCCGGGGCCCCAGGCTCAGCCTGCGTTTCCTGGGCAGTTACCGGACGCTGCTCCTGCTCCTGATGGCTTTTTTTGTGGCCTCTCTGTTCTGTATTGGACCTCTGTCCTGCTCCTTGCTCCTGGTCCTAGGCTACCTCCTCTATGCCATAGCTATGACACTGCTCACCGAGCGGGGGAAGCTGCACCAGCTCTGACCTGCTGGCCATCTCTCCTGAGCAGACTTGTGGGAGTCGATACATGACCTGTTCCTGGGCCTGAGAGACCCTGGAAGGTTGCTTCAAAGCCAGGAATAGAGGGGTAGGTCATCTTCAGAGTTCTTGGGAGTGGTGTTCCTGCAAAGAGAGAGTTACTCAGAAGAACCTAAAGTAGGAAGGGAGAGTGTTCCAGGCTAGGAATGTAAGGGATGATGCCAGAAAGCTCAGGGGCCGTTCTGTAGGACAATCAGTGCTGGCCATGGGTCCTCACCTTCAGCCCACAAGTGACTAAGCTAGTAATGAAGGCCTTGGTAACCATTTTACTGTTTTGCTGTGCAGAACTCAGGAGCTAGTGTGCTTGCAGCAGGCTCTAAGCCTGAGCTCTGTGGGAACTGGTCCTGCCCAGGCCTCTCTGTGAGGTAGGCACAGTGCCACATGGCAGGCAAGCGTCGAAGATGGCCACTGGTCCTCAGCCACTTGGGGATGGAGTTGGGTCCTTCCAGCTTCTGTGGACACAGTGCAACAGTGTTGGATTCACCTGTAAAACCAAGGACTTCTAGGGAAGGTCACCTTTGTAGCACAAGGCCTCTGCGAAAGAAGGACACCTTGGCAGTTGAAGCCCAGGCGGCCAAGGCCCCATCGCCGTCCTGCAGGCGGCACAAGCAGCAGCGGTGTCTCCACGGTGCTTTTAGAGCAGGCCTTTGTTCTGGGTGTGTACAGCTGTTTTTAAAAAACAAAAGAAAACAAAACTTTTTTTTTTCAAGTTTTAACACTGGGCTTTGTATTTCAATGTAATTTCAGAATACATCATGGGACCCATGACCAAAAGTCAACCCAAAACATAACTGACCAAGGATCCGAATAAACCATTCTTCGGAGACTTTCACTGGGCTGAATCTTTAGCACATTCACCTGCATGAGGTCCCTGGGCACTCAGGAACCAGGGAGCAAGCTACTGGACACAGTAGCATCTCTATCTCGTCACACACAGTTTCTGTCTGGGTGTCCTGTTGCTTCCTTAGTGTGTTAGATTCACTTTAACTCTGGGCGCCTTGAGAACTGTGACCTTTCAGAGCTGCCTCCTGTCCCTCCAGAACAAGCATCACCTCTGGTTTCCAGAAGCTTTTTTAAATTTTAAAGAATGTTAATTCTATTTTATGGGAGGAAGTGTTGCTTGTGTGTGTGTGCATCACGTGCATTGCTGAAGGAGGCCAGAAGAGGTGTCGATGTGTGCTGGGGAACAAGCCCTGAGTCTTCTGCAGTGTCCGTATCCAATTGCTGAGTCATTTCTCCAGCCCCCAGAAGAGTCATGAGTGCTGGATCTATGCTAGCCAGCTCCAGGCCAGCATCTTCCCAGGAGGACAGGCCCCTTGTGGGGGCCATTTGAGTGTCCAGTGTCCCCAATTCCCCTGGTCAAAGCTTCTGAATGACTAACCCTTATCAATAACCCTGTCTATCAGTATTTTTCTTTTTGGGGGGCAGTGGGGTAGGAAAAGGGGGTTTGAGACAGTTTCTCTATGTAGTCTTGATTGTCCCAGAACCCCCTCAGTAGGCCAGGCTGGCTTCAGAACTCAGAGGTCTGCCTGCCTCTGCCTCCCAAGAGCTGAGATTAAAGGTGTGTGCCACCACTGTGCCCAGCATGACTATCAATATTTATGAGATGAGTCTTTTTTAATATTTTTTACTCTGACATTTATGTATGTATGTATATGTATATATAGACAATGTATTGCTCTTATCCACCCTGACTACCTCTCCATGTCCCCTGGAGTGGGGAAAGGGACGGAGTATGTGCATATGTGCCATGGTTTATGTATGGAGGGCAGAGGAAAAGCTGAAGGAATCGGCTTTCTTCTATCTCGTGGGTTTGAGGGATTGAATTCAGGCTTCCCATTAAGTTTCTCATCTGACATAGTAGCTTCAGTTATCTACTTGATACAGCTGGGAAAGGGAACTTGAGCTGAGGAGTTACATGGGGCACCTTTTCTAGGGGTGGTGCCATCCCTAGACGGGGACCTAGACAGCCCGGGAGCAAGCCCGTTAGCAGTGTTCCTTCCTTCATTGGTTTCTGCTTCAGGCTCCTGCCTTGAGTTCTTGTGTTGGCTTCTGCATGACAGACTATAACTTGTAAGCTAAAATAAACCCCTTCTTTCCTATTTTGTTTTTGGTCATGGTGTTTATCACAACAATAACTAGGTCACTCAACTAAATCATCTTCCTGGGTTTTGTTTGTTTGTTTTTTCTTTTTTTTTTTCACTGTAACCTACGATGAAACTCCTAGGCTAGAATTATAGCTGTTAGCGTCCACTATCAGTTTGAAATGGGCTTTTTAAAATTTGTTTCTGTGTTTGTTTTGAAGCCAGGATTTCACTGTGTAGCTCTGGCTGGCCTGGAACTCACGATGTAGACCAGGAGAGCCTCAGAATCACAGATCTGCCTGCCTCTGCAGTGCTGAGATTGAAGATGTGCTGCCACACCTGCTTGGATCTTTTAACTTTTGCCGTGCAGAGGTTGGCCCTCTAGGGGCATGGGCATGGTAGACAGATGCCAAACAGAACCATTGAGAAGAGACGCTTACATAGCCTTCTCTTGGAAATTTAGTTTCCAGGGGCTGGAAAGATGGCCTAGAGCACTGGCTGTTCAATTCCTGGCAACCACAGAAGTGGCTCACAGCCATCTATTATGAAATCTGGTACCCTCTTCTGGCGTGCAGGCGGAATACTATATATAATAAATCTTAAAAAAGAAAAGAAATTTTGTTTTGAAACCAGGCATGGTGGTGCTTGCCTTTAATCCCAGAATTCAGGAAGCAGAGGTGGATCTGAGTTCAAAGCCAACTTGGCCTACATAACTAGACTAATTCTCAGATGAATGAATGAATGAATGAATGAATGATCTCCAGGAAGCAAAGGCAGAACTCTGAGGTCGAGGCCAGTTTGTCCTACATAACTAGACTGTAGTTCAAACAAATAAACGGTTTTGGTTTCCAAGTGGCTAAGAGTGCTTGCTGTGAGGCTGGAAAGATGATCCAGCAGTTAGGAGAGCTTCCTGCCCTTGCAAAGAACCTGTAGCTCCAGCTCTAGGGGGTCACTGCCTCTTTGGCACATGCACACCAATAGTATGCATTCCTACAGACTCGGGCTTTCTTATTTCAGGTCCTGCTGACTGGGTTCTCTAGACAGAAAAGCAAATGCTACCTTCAAACAACTCTTCTTTTGGTTTTTTTTTTTTTTTTTGTTAAAGATTGTTTTTGTTTGTTTGTTTTGTTTTGTTTTGGAGACCAGGTCTCACTAGGTAGTAGCGCTGGCTGTCCTGGAACTCACTGTGTAGAGCAGGCTGACCTTGAACTCACAAAGATCCTCCTGCCTCTGCTTCCCAAGTGCTGGAATAAAAGGCTCTCTTGTTCTTTATACGTCTCTCTTGTACGGGTTTAGGCAGCTTCCTTCCTTCCTCCTTCTTCTTACACCCACAAAGATTCTATGAGTATTGAAGGATTTTTTTAAAACTATCGTTTAAAAGTAAGCTATTAAAGCGAAAGACTAAGACCAACTTTAAAAATCAGTGCTGTGGCACCAGCGGGCTATGATGGTGGCTCAGCAGGTATAGTGATCGCCACCCCAGTATGAGTTCCTAAATTCGTTCCCTAGCACCCACATGAGAAGTGGGGAGGGAAGGCGCACACCGGGGATCTTAGCACTGGGCGGCGAGGAGATGGGAGGATCCTGGGGCTCCCGGGCCTGCCCAGCTAGCAAGGACGACACAGCTTCGCTCAAATGCTAAAGCACGCACACTCACACACAAAACGCTGTAAAGGCGCACGTCTCTGGCGAGTTCCGGAGACTGGCGCGTTCCTCTGGACCGAACGCGGCCGCAGGCCCCGCCCCATGGCGCGCCCCGCCCTCTCCGGCGCGCCCGTTCCCACGGCGACCGGGCGCCAGGCTCAAGAGCGTCGTGGTTCAAGA